ACACACACACACACACACACACACACAGCCCAGGAATGTCTCTTACAGAAACAGGTGATCGGGAACAGAGGGAAGAGACCGAGAATATACTGAAAAGGTCTCAGTGACTGGAGGGGTAAGCCCTTTGTTGGAGTGGCGGTGGGTACTGGGAATGGCAAGGACCAAGGGAGGATTCACAGGGGAGGTGCTGGGGTTAATGGAGCAGGGACAAAGGGCATACGGTGTGTGTGTGTGTGTGTGTGTGTGTGTGTGTGTGTGTGACATATGACAAGACTTTAAGACAGGGAAGGGCTAAGGGGATTGCTAACATCCTGGGCATATGCCAGGACACAGAGCCAGAGAGATTATGTGGTACTTAAAGCAGTATGGGGAAGTAGACAGTCTTCACTCACTCCCAAAAAGTTCAAGGTAGCGGTGAGATCCAAAACAGGGTTCTGGAAATGCCTTTCCTCAAATCACTGAGACACCTCATAACATGGCACTTTCCAAAAGATTTGGTGTCTGTGTGGTGTATGCAAGTGTATATGTTTGGATGTGCACATGTGCATGTGAAGATGGTCATATAATACATGTACACAGAGGCCAGAGGCCAAAGTCAGGGTCTTTATTTAATACTTTCCACTTTTTTTTCCTCTTTTGAGACATGATCTCTATCTGTAGACACAGCTGGCCTTGAACACCGAGAGATCCTCCTGTCTCTGCCTCCTCAGATCTGGGATTTCTGGCAACTGCTGCTCTGCCCTGCTTTATGTGGGTGCTGGGGACCCCAGATCAGGTCCTTATGGCAAGCACTTTACTGAGTCATCTCCCCATCCCCTCATTTCCCACTTTCACTACATCCTGTAGACTTAGTCTTCAAGCTGCACCCAGAATCTCAGTAGATCTAACCGCCACTTTCCTTATCCAGGTTATTACTGTTTGCCTAGATTATACCAACAGTTCTTTCTTAGAAGATGAGAGGCAAGAGGATCTGGAGTTCGAGGCCAGACTCAGTTACACAGCTAGTTTGAGGCGGTACCTTAAAAACAAGAATAGCAGTCAGGCAAGGTGGCATATGCCTGTAATCCCAGCACTCTGGAAAGTGGAGGCAGGCAGATGTCAGTGAGCTCAAGGCCAGCTCGGTCTACAAAGTTAAGTGCAGGACAGCCAAGACTATTCAGAGAAACCCTATCTCAAACAAACAAACAAAACAACAAACAAACAGTACCCCATTCCGCAGAGTCACTTAATTGGTCTCTGCTTCTACTGACACCCTTCAGTTTTTCCTGTTTGGATTTGTCATAGCTTGTATCCTGACATTCTCTAAAGGTCTATGTGTTAAAGGTTTGGTCCCGGACACCTGGAGCTACTGGGAAGGGAAACCTTTGAAAGGAAGCAAGGCCACTGGGTTTTGTGCCCTTGAATGGGACACGGAGTTCCTGACCAGTTCACTGAGTTCTCTTTGCTCCCCTGCTGTCATGAAGCACATAGCTTTGCTCCTAAACCGGATAGGGTAGCTCACACCTGCAATCAAGCAACTGGAGGTTGAAACAGGATGGCTATGAGCTCGAGACTGGCCAAGGCTACACAGTGAGAGCCTGTTTCTAACCGACACACAGAGCAGTCTTATCCCACCACATGCTCTATGCCTTTCTGTTCTACCTCACAAGGGTCCAGAAACGACACAGCCACTACCATGGCTAAAAGGCTAAAACCTCAAGCACAGCAAACCTTTCCTCTTGAGATACCGCTGCCCACTGCCTCGGGAGTGCTGGGATTATGGTGTGACACTATGCCCAGCAAGCCTTTCCTTTCCTTTGTATATATCAAATATTTTGTTCCAGTGATGGAAATTACCATAAAACTTAAGATGGCTCAGATAACGTCTCCCAAAAAAACCTTCCATGGATTCATATCTCATTCTGAATAAACACCAATAAATGCATGGTAGCACATGCCTATAATTCCAGCAGCTGGGAGGCAGGGACAAGAGGACTGTGAGTGGGAGGCCAGCCTTGACTATACCAAAAGACCTTGTTTCAGAAAGAATTAGGGCCAGTGAGAATTAGGCTCAGTGGGGACTGGCGGGAAGTGCTTCCTGTGCAAGCCCGATGACCTCCCTACAATCCCCAAATTCTATGGTAGAAAGAACTGACTCCACAAAGTTGTCTGTTGAGGCCCCTACCATGTACTCCGTGGCATCTGCGCACATACACATACACACATTCCCTACATACACATATATAATAATAAAATTTCAAAGTAAAAACTTGCCTGGCCTATAAATTCAGTTCCAGCCTGGAAATTTAAAAAGATTCAGTCTCAGAGTAAAAAGAGGAGATATGAGAGTACAGCCTGGCTTTTGCCCAGCATGCATGAGGCCCTGCGGTCAATCCCCAGGCAGTGAAAAAAAAACATAAAATCCTATTAGTGGTCTACTAATAGGACCTTGATTTCTGACCAGAGACCCTTCCAAAATTTCCCTTTAGCTCTTATCCCCTACCATGGTCCCCCCTCTGCTCACCCTGTACTGGCTGCTGATTGGAGATGGTGTAGCTGTGTTTAAGAGCCCGGTGGTCAGGGAGAGGCGGTGATGATTAGCACCGAAGAACTGACAGTGATAGTCAGGGAAGCCTGGAGAGGGACCACCTAAAGCTCCTGATTCTAATGGAAGACCATCTTGAACAGTGTGTGCCCCCTCCAGACCAACCTCCTCGCTCCATAGGTGCTGCCTGGTTGGAGAGGCAACCTCCAAACCTTGATGGCCCTCTCGTGGGCCCTTACTGTACGTCTCCTTTAGGTGTGCACACCTGTAAGCATGCTGGGGCTCATCCCTTTGGCCTCCTTTCTGAGTATCTTCAGGTGAGACAAAGGCTGGGGTGCAGGTGACTTCTGGAGGTTAGCTACAGGGCCCAGCTCGTCCTGATGGATGGAGTCTGTCCTCACAGGCTAGGCATAGCCATCTTTTGTCACAAACACTGGTTCCCACTGACTATAAATCTCATAGCAACAACAACAACAACAACAAAAGAAACTGTAAGAATGAGCAATATCTCCCATGACGGATGGGTCTCCAGTCAGCCAAATGGCCAGGAAGTGCCAGCTATGAGTGGTAAAACTTAAGCACGGGAGGCCAGAAATTTCTATTATCAAGAATTTTTTTCCCTTCATGCTGAGTGGCCTGCAGCTCTTGTCCACCTCTCCGAGTTTTATTTTTACTGCAAAATGAGCCAATCCACTATACAGGGAATATGGCTAAATTAACTGAGGCAGAATAGGTCAGGTGCCTGACTAGGCACAGCTGTCAGTGGTTCACTTTTGCCATCATCACAGAGAGGATGAATGCATGCTGAGAGCTTCCTATAACTCAGTCTCTAAGAGTCACACAAATGCTACCATTTCCAGGCAAACAGTTTCCATGTTTGATATTTTGAAATGTTTTTTTTTTTCTTCTTTTCAAGGAGCAGAGGTTCAGATAGCGTCTTACTCTACAGGCCAGGCTACCTTCAAACTTTTAATATGATCTTTATTATATTAGGACTGTTCCCGAGGCCTCTCACAGAAGTGGGCCCTGAGCAGCTCTTTGGAAGCTCCCGCCCTCAACAGTAGCTTTCAGCAATCCTGGCAGCTCCTCACTTCCTACCCCTGTCCCAGCTACCCCGACCTTCAAGAAGGGAACATTCTCACCAACACATATGCGAATCTCAGGCCTGAACCCTCAGGATGATGAACCTTAGTGCTATAGAAAGGAACACATGTAGAGCATGACATCAGTGCGTCACTTCAGGTTAGGATACCCTTCGATCTCCTGCTCTCCTGATAACTGAAGCTTCACAACAGGCACTGGCAGGATGACAAGAGAATAGCTAGCTCACTGTCACACATCAGGGCAGGGAACAACATGCCCGAGGCTTTTGCATAGTGTCCTTGCAGGAGGGAAAGGGGTCCCCGGCTGCTATTACTACTGCCTCTGGAGGCTCTCCAATGCTCCCCCACATTTGCAATTTCTGGATGAGGGACAGGAGGATCTAAATACTAGGGGTGATTGCCATTTGGCTGTTAAACACACGTGGCTGACCAGTGAGCTATAATTAGGTTCTCAGACACAAAACACACTGAGGGTTGCAGTTCTGACACCTAGAAGCTTCCTGTTAAACTAACACACTGCTCAGCTTGTGACAGACACTCAAGGGTGGAGACTGAAGGGATTCTGGAGAAGGAAAGAAAACCCCATTTTCAGCAATGCCCAGTAGATGAGCTTTTGAACACAGGACCCAGGGATCCTATCAGCATGGAAACCACAAGTATTCCACCATAATCAGGCTCCTGCAGGCTAACCATGCAAATTTCACCTTTTGTTAGACCTGGTTGTCTTGAAACACATGCTTATACAAGTTTATTCAGCTTTCCTTCCAGGAAGTCGAGACATTATTGAATGAAAACTGCTACTTGCTTCCTGGCAGCAGAAGACAGGGACCCCGAGAGCTCTGTAAATTCTTCAGTGCTGGGGTTGAACCCAGGGTCTCAGTATCCCAAGTACATCCTCCAACCCTGAGCTTTACTCCCAGTCCCTAGTACTCCTTACCTCAGGTTTTCTGGAGGGTAAGCATGTTTCAAGCTGCAAGCCTCTCACTAGTTACAGCTCCCCTAACAAGGCCCGCAGGAGCTGCTCCAGGCCTCCTCAGAACACTTCTCTGTTCCTCAGTAACACACCACAGGAAGTGGGCTTCACAGGCTGGGCTCAGGACACCTGCATTTTCCTGGCCTGGGAGCAAATGATTTGTACAGTGGACACGGAGCTTAAAAAAGGGCTTCACTAACTCATCTCCTGTTTAATAAAATCCAGGGAGAAACACTAACAAAAACTTTTTTCATTATTATTGTGTGTGTTTGCACATGATATTGTGTGTATGTGGGTGTGTGTGCCTTGCTGCGTGTGTGGAGGCCAGAGGACAACTCTGTGGAGTGGCTTCTCTCCTTTCACCTTTATGTGAGTTCTAGGGAGCGGACTGACAAGCTTGCATGGCAGGCCTCTCCCCACTGAGCTAGTTCAGTGGCGCCCACTTTCTTTTTATAGTTAAAAAGGTTTTATGGTGCTGGAGAGATAGATGACTTAGTGGTCAGGAGCACTTGCTTCTCTTGCAGAGGACTCGGGTTCAGTTCCCAGCACCTACATGGTGGCTCACAACCATTTATAACCCCAGTTCCAGGGGATTCAACTCATTCTTCTGGCCTCCTCAGACACCAAGCATGCATGTGGTGCTCATACATACATTCATACTCATGAGCATAAATATTTTTTTTTTGAGACAAAGTCTCTCTATGTAGCCCTGGCTGTCCTGAAAATCACTATATAGACCAGGCTAGCTTCAAACTCACAGACATCTGCTTGTCTCTGCCACCCAAGTGTTGGGATTAAAGGTGTGTGCCACTAGCCCACACCTGGCCTTACTACTAGAAATCTGAGTTTGAAAACCAGCAGAGCAAGCCAGGGACAAAAAGAAAGAAAGAAGGTGGGGGGGAGAGGAAGGAAGGAAGGAAGGAAGGAAGGAAGGAAGGAAGGAAGGAAGG